CGCAGACACCACCAACAAAAATAGCGGTTAGACCGCACCCATCTGTTCTGCTACAGGTCCCCCTCCAACAAGACACCGCCACAATCACTGATCAATAACTTTAACAAACTCACGTAAAAACACAACTAACACTCGGCACAGAGCACGGCTGTGGCTGCGTCTTGATCACAGAATTTAACCAGCAACCAGTTTGTTTACAACTAAACTACATTAACGGTTAACACATCAGTAAGTACACAGTGTCTGAGTCCCACAAATATCGTTACAGTTTAGGCTAGTTAGCACTACTGCTAACAGCTTAACGTGACTGTGGACGTTTTATTTAGAAGCCAACGTTGATTACATCTAAACAAGTGTCGTCATCGTTTTTTAAAAAACTAACGTGTTGTATCGCGGTGAGTCGTTTTATTTCAGAGCAGCTTTTAGTCGCGGGTGAGTGTCTTCACTACATGGGCCTGTGAGGCCTACATCTACAGAGCAGCCATGAAGCCGAAGAAAGATGGCTCGAGCTAGATAGAAAACGCCAGCTTCCCCGGCTCAAAAGTGCCGGTAAAAGCCAGGGCGACGCGCCGTGTCCTCCGCGGCGGTTTCCGAGGCCGGGCTCAGTGCCGATAATCGATGTTAAACGTGCCCGCTAATTTTGAGTCGCTCCAACTGCACTCTGAGTCCGTGCGGCTCGACTCTCGATTCAAAGCACACACAACAACACAAGCCCCACATTGCATTGAGATTCACTGCAAACTAGCACAAGGCCAACACCGAGGCACCGACGCTGCCCCTCACCGATTACACTTGTCCCGGCTAACGGACGAAGAGTTGTAAAGTGATCCACGGAGGAGTCCGAGAGAGTGGAGAAAACCCACTTTTGGTTCCCACTCACCTTAGCAAATCCACCTAAAGAAACGACTCTGATGTAGAGAGCGCTAAGATCCAGCTCTTTCCCACCCACGATAGGAATCTTTTTGAACGGTGTTCTGGAAGAAAAAGACAGAAAGTCAACACACGAACGTTTAGAGAACAATTCTGCTTTAGTCACAGTCATGTGCAATTGATAATTAAAGTTGTATTTCTTGCAAATAAAGACGCCTCAGTCTTACCCTCTGCTCTGGTGGAATTGCCGCAGCTCGTCCAGGAAAGCCTGTCCTTTCCTTCGCTGATCTGGATTTTTCCCCGTCGAATTTGCCATTGTTTTCACATGCAAAAACGTTGAAAGCTACACTTCAGTCGCTTCTTAAGACACCAATGATCCCATACTCCGCCGGCGCTCAGTCATTCGCGAAGCTGAGTGTTTAAAAAGTTAAAGAAATAGCTGATAGCTAGAAGAGCGGCAGCCCGCTAGTAAAGACTGATGCACACAGAGCCAACCCGATTCAACCCGGGACTAAGTTGCCACAAACAGTCATAAATACGAGCGATTTACCGGCGGATGAGCAGCGCCATGACGGAAGGTGTTGAATTAATGCTTTTGGTCGCGGTTGTATTCGTCTGAAGTGGTTTGACAGTATGTTACCGACGCAGCTCGGAGGCTACTGCACACACTGTAGAGCGGTAGAGGGATCCAGTTCTCAGACAAAAAGATGTGGAGGCCGCGGAGCTCGGCCTGCCATGCGTGCAGCGCCCTCTGTGTTCGACAGCGGCACTGCAGCGTCCAGAGCAGAGCGGGTGTTGAACAATAGAGACTGTTTTATTTTCTAGGGACCGTCTGACAACTCGTCTGTTTGGAAAACGAGTCGGGAGACACTTGGACATGTCCCGTGGGGGAAGGGAAAACACTACCTCACCTAACTTCTTTGTTATGATACATTTTATTAGTGGTACGTTTTTGTCAGGCGAGAAAAACAATAACTTTTTATATATTTTTTATACATTTTGCAACTATAGTGAACTTCATACTACTTTATTACAAAAACACGATCAAAGTTTTGGTTTGCTTTTTTTAACTGCAACTATTTGGTTTAGGAAAAAACAACAAACGATTTTATTTCCAAAACAGTAGACATCAGATTAATAACTTGGGAAAATAATTGTTAGTATGTAGGATTCTGGTGTCAGTAATGATTTAAACAAAAAACTAGGCATCATTGTTTAAAAATAACATTAAGGGGAAAAAGTTATAAAATGACAGGAATAATGTAAATGTATGCAAATATGATTAAAATATTACAAAGAAAATGTTAAGAATACGGTCATAATTTACAAAAACGTCACAACATTTAAGAATGACGACGAAGAACTTTACTGAAAAAAAAACAATTAAATGTCCAAAATGTTTCATGTTGTCACATGTAGGGTTAAAGTTAGCTGCCATTCTTCATAATTACTTATCTAAACAACAACTCTATTTGGTAGAAATTACCTATTTTCTTTGTAATACTTAATTGTCATTCATTAAAGTGTTTTCCTTTAGTATGAAGACTTAATTCTCATGAACATGTTTTGTATTTTCTTTCTTTATCCTCTTTTTTTCAATCTCACCAAAAGCTCTACTAAAGTTTTACGTCAAATTATACCTTTATTTTCATACATTTACGACTGTATTCTCGAGGTGACCGTTTTTGCAGCCTGATTTTTGTACATTTGTGACTTTATTATAATTACTTTATCACTTTTTGTGAAAATGACACCTCTATTGTCATAGGTTTAAGAATTTGGATATTACTTTATTTTCAAAAATGTACGATTCCATTCGTAATAACGTAGACCTTTATTCTTGTCATTTTGAATCGTTTTTTCCCTAAATATGACTTTATTCCGTCGGAGTTCTTTTTTTCCTACGGTCACTTGACTAATGTTTTTTCACGCTGCAGATTGATTGTGATAAACTTTTAAACCTTTATCCCGTGTCCCTTGGTGACGACTTCACAACGACATTTATCTCTCGCGATGATTGAAAAGCACCGCTGATCCCTTCAACATCTAACTGTCAGACGGATATCTTGTTGATGGGGTTACATTCAACCATTACACGTACCCCTTTGCTCAATGAAAACCTGTCACAAAATGGCGGAGACGTACGTTAGCCGACCCCATTTTGAAGAATTGACAGTAGACAGCGAAAAAGTGTATGTCCTTGGTTATGGTTTTCAAAACAGAGCTCATTTTTCTTGCAAACACACTGCGACAGAGCGGAGTTCAGCTCACGCTGTTCCACTCCGCACCGTCAGCCCAGTTCTGGGCTAACGAGTCGCTGCAGCGCTGTCTCGCTGTTTCAGAAAACGACTTCTTACTCGCCCAAAGAACAACTGACGTTTTCCGCGGAGTCATCAATCCGATTAACCAGTGATTTATCATGTTTAAACAGAGTCTTTTTTTCGATTTGAGCTCTTATAACACAAACACAAGTGTATTTTCAGCGTTTAGCCGACGGCGGGTCGGGCGGAAGCCTCAGCCACAGCGTCGGACCCGCTAACCTGTCATGTTTCAGTTCCGTATTTGTTTGTGCTCTCACGGAGAATTACAACACTCAACACCTGGGAAAAAAACACCGATTACACGTTCTGTGTTCGCAAACATGCATGACAGAGCACACATAGCCATTTATTACCTATTAAGTGTGATATATGTCTTTCTTATGGCAGACTAGTGTTAGCTGGGCTAGCTAGCTAGCCGAGGGGCTACATGAACACATCTAACACTTGTTCTCTCATAGTAGTTATTACTGCTATTTTCTTGCGTTAACGTTTGTGATGCAACGTATCGCACGATTGCAATGTGTCAATAAAGCAGTTAAATGGCCACTCATTTCCCGTTGATTCAGTTTATACATGTGGATGTTACATGTGTACCAACATTCGGTCCACATTTTATTGAAATAAAAAAAGGTATCACGATTGTTTTTAAAAATCCGGTGTCTTTTCAAAGGTATTATAAGAATTACAGTGTTTAGAAGCCACGTCACATCTGATATCAGACCCTAGCAAGACTCATTATTCATGCTCTCACTTGAGTTTAATCTGTTCAGTTGTCACTGGCGGATCTAGAGATTTTGCCGACGATGTGAAAGGTGGGGCGTGTGGATAAATAAGGGGGCCGAAGTTGTTGTCTCAAGGAAATGTAAGACTGGATTTCATGCATCCACGGCACTTGTGTATGTGTATAAATTAAACGAATTACACGGAACCACAAATACAGTTCAAGTGTCAGCAGCTCATAATTCCCCAAGTTATCACCGTTATCAGGTCGAACACCCAGGTCAGGGTGAGGGCAGGAACTCATTTGTGTAAATTCTATATCAGTGAGTAGAGCCATAGGGATTGGAATTCTAATTAATGTGTTTAAGTATAAAAATGTTTTAATTAAATTAAAAATCAAGGTGGTAACTTTAGAAGGAGGGTTTGTAAACGCACATCTAACGTGAAGAAAACTAGATAGTATTACTGTCACACACACTTTAAATACAACATATGAATGTAGTGAGTAAAGACCAGTCAATTTTTGAAATAATTAATGACTTGTTTGGTAATACCCAGGGGTTGACGTCACTGTTAGTTGTTGTCTTATAAATCATTACAGTTTTAGAACGTTCAATGTTCAGTCGTTTGAACTCATTGGTTTCACCTTTCATGTTCTCCGGGTCTTAATTTAATGGGTATTCTACGCAGTATAATTCCTTTATTTTTATTTTTTAAGTTCTGATTTTTGGTTTTAAAGGATGTAGCACCTCGTTGTGGCCATATGTGGAACTGCAGCGCCTTCACCTGCCATAAACTAGAAACGTTTTTAGTGAGATTTTAGACCTGGAACGGGAACCTCGTGAAGTCAACGTGGTTTCAACAATAAAGACACATGTTCACAGATAAATACATGGACTCATTAATCATTTATACCGTTTGTTATAGTTGACGTGTCCGCGCCAAAACATTGATGTCTCAAATAGGTGTCTGTTTTAACAACAATGTGCTCGTCTGCCCCGACGTCATCATTTAAATCCTTACTGATTGGCTGTTGCAGTATTTCTCAGCCACTTGGTTTCTTCCGCTGCACCTTCAGTAAAGCCATCACTCAGGGATCCTTATCTGAGGAGACAGAAAAGCCTTCCTCCGACATATGGTCCAACTGGGACACTCAGCCAAAGCTGCTTCCTAACACCCAGACAATAGAGCCCAGACGGTGGGAGGTCGGGGGGGGCAGTGGGGG